TTCTTCCTACATTTTTGAAATCCAGTGTGTATTTTATACTTATCACACATCCCAATTTGGGCTGGCTGTATTTCAAGTGCCTATTAGCCCCAGTGTGGCCAGCGGCTGCTACAAATTCAGCAAAGCAGGTCTTCATCTGGGCTCTGCAATGCTAGGATGCTAGGATGCTAGGATGCTAGGATTCTGTGGGATCGCCTGGCAAGTAACACCTGAAGCCAGTAACTTGAACATGTGTATTTTCTGAACTTGTAGGAGTAACAGACATGGGTCTTATACAGCCTTCCACTTCCCAGATTCACTTTTAGGGGCAAGGCCTGGAAGGAAGCTGGCAGTACTCCCATGAAAGGATACACATCCATCTTACTACACCAGGGCTCTGCTTTCCTTCTTGCCTGAGGTGTGCACCTTTCACATCCACCATTTTCACATCCGCCATTTTCACATCCGCCATTTTCATATCTGCCATTTTGGACATTCAGCAGACCCAGTTTAGCTAATTGGCTGATTGCATTCACCTGCACTGGCAAGGCTGGAAAAGGAAATGACTTCTGACGTAGTTTTTTCTTTGGGCCTTTTCCATGGAGTCTGGTAATGCATGTCAAACCACACACCCTTTTCCATGCCACTTGTACTTGTGAAGTAGTCCTTATTACCTGGCACCCAGTTGTTTTGAATTCAGGGGCTCATTATACCAGCCCAGTGGGGTTCTGCCTATCAAGCTAGGACCGGCCAGAGCTGGCTGACATCAGTGGGTATAGCCTATGATACAAGGAACCATTGGCCAGGCCAAGAAGAGCCACTTTGGACACTTCAATGGAGGTTGACTCTGGCCAGGTCATCTTTTGCCCCGGACCACATTCTCTGACATTTGCTTTCAGTACCACAGTCTATCTTCAGGCCACAGACCTAGGCTTTTTTCCTCTACCCAAAAAGACCCTTGTCCTGCCACACAAAATGAAAGACAATAGTCTATGTTGCACATCACGTTTCTATAAAGAAGAGCTCCTGTCTTGATGGAACCCCTTGGGGATAGGAATAGAACCCAGGTTTCTTAGCAGCTGCTGTGTGGCAGGCAGTTTACATATGTGGGTTCAGTTTGTCCTCACAGTGCTCCATGAGGCTCAAAGAAGTTAGCTTTAAGGGGTGGAAGACCACACAGCTCACAGCCACAGAACCAGATCCCAGGCTGGCCTGGCCCCCAAGCCCCTCAAGCTTCTGTCCCCTTCCTCATGAGAGGGCTCCCCTGAACTAGCCCTGAGTGAGGGTTGTGGTATATGGTGCTCATTGCCATCCTAAGCTGGTGGAAGGGTGAAGGGACGCTGTCTCAGGCCCCAGGTATGGTTGTTACCACACACAGCAGGGCTGAGGGGCCAAGGATCCCTGGGGACCCTGCTATCCCTGGCTGCCCACAGGACTGAACAAAGCTGACTAGAAAGACAGGTTCCCTGAAGTGGGAATGGCATGTATTGGATACACAGGTTGTGCACTGCTCAAAAGTACATAGCCTCAGGGGTGAATGGGGTCTGAAACGTGGTCCCTGCTTCACTGGCCAAGCTGTGGCTCCTGGCACCAGGCAGCATCCAGCCAGAGGCGTGGTGGGGGTGCCTTTGTAATGCACACATAGGCCCTGGA